GACAAAGTATCAGAAACCATGAGCACAACCCCGTGGCGCCAGAATTATCGTCGCCGACGATTAAATGGGATCATCACGGCCGTCCCGGCGAGTGCTTCGTTGGTTCATGCGGTCGTGGGAACCGCGACTCTCGTCGTAAGGTCTTGATCGAGTTCGCCAAGCGGGAAAGACTACGAGTGCGTCAATTGCTTATGCCACCCCTAATTTTTTTTCACTTTTCTGACTAGTTCGGGAACTTCTTAAGTTGGCACAGATACCATCGTTTTTGGCGTGTGGGAAAACTAAGAATAGTGTTGTTTGATTTTGGTTGACGCGTGGATTTGACTTGCTCTGTTCCTCAAAAGAAAATGGGCTGCGTCAGTTGCTCATGCCATCCTCGAGTTTCTTCGGACTTTCTCATTTCTCTAACGCTATTTAGCTACGGTGTGCATGTATATAAATGAGGAAATCTTCCACTTGTGCAGTGCACACAAATGGTTGAGCTCTTATAACTAATTATTTCGGCATACTAGCCCTACTAGGACGGTAGCACCATGAAAACACTCTATCAGAGAAAGAGCTGTGTGCTCACTTCTGCCATCGCTCCTGCTGCTTATTATAGAACTGTTCTAGGAGTGCATCCAGACAAAACTGGGAAATTAACGTGCTCAAGTAGCTCTATAATTCACTTTTTCCCGCATCGAACCTGTGGTCAACTTTACTTGCGGTCTCAGCTCCCGTAAAGCTCGGAGCATTCACGTTCACGAAGTCTCTGTTCAGAAAGAATATGAGTCGCACTCACAATTTGCCTGGTACCCGCCGAACTTGATCGGATTCTCTCTGGAAAAATTTTCGTACCAAGTGAGCGAAAATGATGACATGGGCCAGTTGTAATAACTTGAACGGGACACCGAGGTTGTGGCTTGGACCGTCATTGCATCGCCTTGACAAAAATACTTCAATCAAGTTGGGCGATGGGCACCAGGCGGATTGTGAGTGCGACTCATATCCTCTCTGAACAGAGACTTCCTGAGCGTGAATGCCTCGAGCTTCGAGAGAGCCGAGAGCACAAATAAAATGGATTCCATGCGGGAAAACGGGACTCAAGGAACTACTTAAGCACGTCAATTCCCTTAATTTTGCTTGAATACACTTTTCGAAGAGTTCTATAATAAGCAGCAGGAGCGGTCGCAAAAGTGAGTACACTGCTCTTTCTCATAAAGCGTCTTCATGCTGCTACCGTCCTATATAAGGGCTAATATTTCAAACTGATCATATAAACGCTTCACCATTTGTGTGCATTGCATAAGTGGAGGATTTCCTCATTTGTATTACATGCACACCGTAGCTGAATAGCGATAGAGACATGAGAAATTCCAAAGAAAGTTTAGGATGGCATAAAAATTGACGCGGCCTATTTTCTTTCGAAGAAGAGAGCATTTCAAATCCACGCGTTAACCATAATCAAACAACACCATTCCTAGTTTTCCTACGCGCCAAAAACGATGGTAGCTGTACCGATCCACGAAAATCCCAAACAAGTCAGAAAACTGAAAAAAAATTCAGGGGTGGCATAAGCAATTGACGCGCGTATTTGTAGCGAAAATTTTCTCCTAGAAGCAACAGGGGCGGCAGTGGACCTGGCACGCTTCCAATGGGATAGGTAAACACACACTAAATTATAGTCAGCTGGGAACCTTAAACACTTTGGCGTCGTAGCGGTCGTCTGCGAATTGCGGTTAAATATCGGGTTCGACCACAGTTGCTCAGGGCAACGTCCAGGATATACGAAAGGATAAAGAGGCCAACAGCTCAGTAGTGATATCGAAACGATGGCATTCTGACGTCATTGAAATGCTAGCCTCCACAGTGTACAAACCAGCTAAAATACTTATCGCCGTTGACGACGAGTACGCAAACCTGCTGTTCGCATCATAACAAAGGCCACAACGGCCAATCATCGGGCCTTTGACACCCTCGGACCTTACATTAGAATCACGCGGTAGAGCAACACGGACTATTACACCGACATCAAACTCATCATAACACTGGTACGTGTTCAAATCCGGCGCGGCGTTAGACAAGTGACGTCATGACCCCCAGCTTGTTCGCATTTGCGCTCGAGAACATCATAAGGCGAGTCATGTTGCTCGAAGGAGTGCACGTCGACGGCCTTCGAATAACGCATTTCCTCTTCGCTGATGGTTGCGTACTGATAGGTGGGGACCACGCTCATATAGCGCAATCCCTGAGCCTCATCAGGCCAGAAACCGGCAAAATCGAGCTCCAAATCCATCTCGGCAAGAATCAATGGATGCATAACAAACAAGTTCTACCAGCCGATCCTCCTAGAAGGTCAGAGATCGAGCGAGTATCCTCCTACGTATATCTCGGCAAAACGGTAATATGAACAACAACCTCACGTTCAAAATTTGCAGACGCCGCATAGCGGGTTGGATCGCTTTAATAAGCTCCAAGAAGTATCAACTTCTAAAAACGTAGACCCCAAAATCAAGGTCCTCGTCTTCAACTCGCATGTCCTTCCCGCAATAACGTACGGGGCAGAGACGTGAAGCACCACAGTCTCTGAACAGGAGGAACTCGCAGTCACACAGCGAGCCATGGAGGGGACCATGGCTTGTGCGGTGTAACGCTCCGAGACCAAACACGAGACCAAATACCCAATGACAATTTCCCTGAGTTCATTGAAATGAAGTGATTCACTAACCGATATTTGAACGACCTGCAGGATCAAGTTACTGCGTGTAGGTCTTTTCTTTCTAAGATCTCTACCACACCCATGCTGCATATACCGAGCGCGCGGCACCCATGACCTGACCTAATGGGTGAAACCAAGTCGGAAATAAAAGTTTGATGAACAGAGAACCACCGAAATTAGGAAGTAATTTGGTAGCTTATATTTTTGATGAGATAATGCGATTTTAGCGTTGGGACTAAGCGAAGGATGTCAGAAAAAAGAACACTGACACTGTTAAGTTTGTTAGAGACACATCTCTTGTGTTTTCGCTTATCACGTTTATCGAAGCGTACGGGTAAATCGTCAGGAGCAGAGGAAAATCGAATAGGTCTTCAGTTCTAAGGTATTCTTTGCAGAGCTCGGAAGGGAAACATCATGTACATGAGCTATTCCGTGTTGTGAGAGAGGAATGGCTACAAAGTGAGACAAAGTTGATAAGAGCAGGTTCGATCTCGGAATTTATATGTTATTTATCGCGTCAGTGTTCATATTTATTTTGACTGTTGTGATAAAGAGTAGCAGCCATAACTACGGTATGATGACCTAGGCACGAAAAGGTTGATCCCGTAGTGGAAGTATCCAATAATATGGTCTTGGCCTTCGGTCTGAACACATCATACTCAGTGTTATATAAACCGCTAACGTGCTATCGGTTTGCATGTATCATTGTATGGACGTATGTAATTGTGCATGTCCGTCCGCAAATGAAGCTCTAAGGCAGCTTATGGAGTGAAAAACCTATAACGAAAATCGCAGTTCTGCAGTATCAGTGACTTGATATGGCGTGATGGTTCAATCACCTCTACCGGAGATATGAGCACCCAATTGTCGGCGTGAGGGTTACCAACGGGGATTTACGCCGCGCTCGCTGCCCCGCTACTGTGCCACGCGGCCTCCCGACAGGCCTAAGCACCCCCGACTAGTAATACGCTATGACCCACTACGCATCGTTCGACCTAGGACTACGCCGCGATGTTATTGTCCCTCCAACTGGCGCCCTACGAGAAATTTTCGGCCCGGCCTACGGGCGTCACATCAATTATGAACATAGTAATCATGTAAATAAAGCAATGATACTATGGGACGAACCGCTTACGACCTATACACAACAGAGAAATAAACCATAGATCCATGTAATCATAAAATTACGGTAAGAAGAATGACTACAATTGTGCGGGTACTACGACTTAAATCAGTGGTCGAACCCAGCTGCATTCCTCACGCAGGGGTGCCCTGTCTCTGTTCCGATGTCCATCGACGGGAATCCAGGCCCGGATCCACTTGCTGACGTACGAACAGCTGCAGCATGAAGTGGCGACATGAAACAGATAGCGGCGACCCGGATGCACTCGACGGCGGCACTACGTAGACTGTCAAACAGGTACATGCGCCGGCACTCTGCCTCTGGCGCTCTTTCGAGAAGCTTCGATGGTGAGGGCGCGCTAGGACCCGTGCACATCCGACCAGGCGCGACCGGATCTGTGCGAAGAAAAATTTGGTGATGTGCGCCATGGGCAAAGTGACTCTTTTTTGCCCCCTCCCCCTGTACGTAGGCATGGGAAGACGAAGTGAGAGAAGGGGAAAGAAAGTAAAGAAAAGAATATTCCTATCCCAGTAAGCTTTTAGAAAGGGCCCATCCATTCTTCATGCCATGAAAGGGATGCGCAACACTAAGCCGCGTCTGTCGCCGGCTGCAGTTGCAAAAACATATATCGGGATTGAAAGACACGTAATCCTAGCCTGAACAGTGGCGCGGCGACCGGCTCGCCGCTAGCGCGACAAAGCCGAACACCGTCAGGCGTTCGCCTCGCCGCTAGCGCGACAAAGCCAAACACCGTCGCAGCGTTCGCCTCGCCGCTAGCGCGACAAAGCCAAACACAGTCGCGGCGTTCGCGCGAGCGGCGGGGCTGGGCGCTGCGCGCGCGGGCATGGGGAGGTGATCCCCGGGGTGCCGCCTCGTTTGGTAGGGCGACAGCCGCTTGTGTTGCATCCTCCACCTTCTATATAAACGGCGCTTAGTACTCTGCGCGGGCCTACTCGACGCATTCTCACTCCGTTGGGAGGGCGCAGAGAAAACGAGAAAATCGATGACACGTGAGATTGCGCGCCCCAGTGCCACGTCGAGAAGGTTACGGTATACACCCTATGTTCCTGAACTTATAATCTTGCTTAAACATGTAGCGATGCTGCCTCGGCCAACAAGACGACTTGCGGCTGTGATTCGCACTAAGACCTGATCAATACCATCATTACCCTTTTAGCACGTCATTTGGAAGCTGCCGCGCAGATCTTTACACAACGCGAAGTGGAGAGAATTTGTCATAAGGTTAGTTTTTCCCATTCAATATATCAGCTACTTTCTTTTTTTCCCACATTGACTCTTCTAACATGAACTATGTTTTCGCAGCAGTTTATCGCCACAGGGCCGTTGAAAAATCGCCACTCGAATTCATAGTAATAGGTTTTCCCAGAATTAGAGAACCACTTCAATTTCTTAGTGCAAGAATTCTGGAAGACTACTGAAGGAATGAAACACATTTGGCAAAGTAGTACCTACATAACCCTACCTAAACAATTAATCAACTCATTTACACTCTGCCTCTGGTGTTCAATTTTTAGAACCCATTTTTAAAGCTTCCTTCTTCACCATTATTTATTAGGATCTTTCGAACGCCAAACATATAAAACCGGCCAGAGGATGGACGAGGGCATGGTCTCTCAATTCACCGTGCATTCACTGGTGGTTTACTCTATTTCGGGGTGACTTTTTTATTTGAAGATGGTCTACACTCCAACCACCCCGCGACTGGCCATCTTACTACTACTGCAGACATTTTACAACAGACGCCATTGGAACCGGAACTGGACCAATTGACCATTCACCAAACACTTCTGATGGGATGATAGTACTAAAACATCTGCGTAGAGTGGCGAAGATTTGAAAGAATGGACTTCGTATCTCACATGCTCTAAGCCGAAATCAGCACTAAACATGGTCCGACATCTAATGTCTCTTCTGATTTTCCCACAGTTCTTTCCACTGATCATACAACGTATGTACTCACCGGTGAGGTGGACCCAGAACTCATGCAGCGGGCT